CTGTTGCTGTATAGTCCAGTTTATTGTCTACAATTCCATTGAAATCTCCCATCATAACTATATTAGCATAGTCCAGTTCAATTATTTTCATATGTAATTTTTTGTAGAATTCTTCTTGCTTGTCATTCGGGGCATAAATTGCAACCAGGAGTGTTTTTGTATTATTATCCACTATTTCAACCATTAATACTCTTCCATCTTCATCAGTATGAATCAGTTTTGCTGGGATAGTTTCTTTAATATATAAAACCACTCCTCTTTTCTTACAGTGAGTCAGGGAAGTAAATATTTTCCCTAATTTTGGTCGTGCCAGTAATTGTTCATGTTGTTTTTTTTAATGTGTACTTCTTGTAAACAAATTATATCAAATTTTAACTTCTCTAATTTGTGGAAATTTTTCTTCTTTTGGTAGCTGAATTCAGTCCATTTATATTCATAGAAATCAGTTTTTTTTCCTCCATGATTGTGTTTTGTATTTAGGTCTAACAGCTCTCGTAGATCTTACTTCACGTTGTTCTTTGGTCTCCGCTTGTCCACCTACTGCGCCTTCTTCTTTTCCCATCCCCATTTGGTCCTCTTGAAGTTCAGTTGAGATAATCTCTTTTTCTGTCTCTATTTCTCTTCTTTCGAAAAATTCATTGTAAAAATGTAAAAATTCATTGTAAAAATTCATTTTCTGCTTTCTCAATTGAGTCAATTCTGTGTCTCTGTTCTTGCCATGTAAACATTAATCCTTCTGGAATCAGCCATCTGTAATTCACCTCTTTTTTCAATAACATTTTAGTCAAGAATCGATATTCTCCTCTCATCTCTCTCACTTTTCTGGGTACTTGTTTTAAGACCACAATCTCATTGTTTTTATATTTCAGCATCTTCTCTCTTGCCACTTGTAATATTTGTGTTTTAATAGTATTTTTTTGTAAATCTGACGTGTACCTCTCTTGGTAGATTGTTCCTCATCGCATATCTTGTAAAGACTCGGTATATCTCATCTACTCCATCCATCATCTTTTCCTCTGTTATTCCCAGAGCTCCAGCCAGGATTTCTATCATTATTGCAGTCAAATTTTGTCCTTTTTCTTCCTCTATATTTTGAAATCTGAGATAGAATTCTGACCTGTCCATCTCCCACTTCAAAATCCCACTTTTATCTTGTTCAACCATTGTTAATCTGCTATCAATATTTCCAATTGTCTCATCTCTTTGTTTGTCTTTCTCTTCAATTTTTTGGAGTTTCTCATCATTTTTCACCATCATTTGTTGAATATTTTCAACTTTTTCATTGGTCTTCCCAATTCTTTGTTCAATACTCTCCATTCTTTGTTCAATACTCTCTGTTCTTTGTTCAATACTCTCTGTTCTTTGTTCAATATTCTCAGCTCTTTGTTCAATATTTTCTATTTTCTTTTCAATGATATCCGATTTCATTTTAAGTTCTTGAATTCCTTGCATAATCATCTTTAAATCCACTTGTTCTTTATCTTGCTTCGACATTATCTGGGTTAAACGTCGTCCTCCAACTGTTGGGGAGGCAGGAGCAGAAGTTGAAATGCCAGAAGATATGAATTTCTTACTCATTTATGTAACTCAGGATCTTCGAGCTCTTTTAATCCAATTAGTAGAGTGGCCAATTGTAATCCAATTAGGGAAAAAGAAAGAAAAAAAGAAGAATAAAAAAAAGACAATAAAAATTAAAAAGCCCAAAATTAAAAAGAAAAAAGAAAAGGTTCTTCAGGTTCTTCTAGACCTTAATCCTATTGTGGGATAGTCTATTGTGGGAGAAGGTGGAGCCACGTCGCTGTGATACAGCTGCAATCTCGGGGCTCCGAGATCGCAGCTGATATCTTCGCCCCTGGTCGGTCCCAACGGCCCTAAACCGTCCCGTAGAGACGGTGATAGTAAGGGGCGCTTACTGTTGATCCCAGGGACATCGCAAAGTCCCTGGTTGATCCAGAAGAAGCCCTTTTACCATCGGCGGAGAGGCAGCCATTAAGCTGCTGAAGCTGGGACAGCTCCGGAAGGAAGAGATCGAAAGAGAAAGTGTATCGGTTTGGTGAGGACTTTTTTATTATTATTAATATTTGGGACTAAAGGACACCCTAAGAATGAGAAAAAATCTGTAAGATTTTCGACAAAACTGACTTAGCAGCGATTTTTAAAGAGAAATGTCAAAGTGAGGCTTGGCTTTTTACTTTTACTTTTTTTTTACTGAACTTCTATTGCGATTTAGCAATTGTTAACTGGACTGGTTTTTCCTCTTATATTTACCTATTTTTCTTCTCCTTTTTGACTGTTTTTATTTTTTAGAATAGAGGCTCCCTTTAGTAATTTATATATATACATACATACATACATACATACATATATACCTTCTTTTTTATTGTGCTTTTTTTGGGAAAGAAGGGGGAGTGGATGAAAGAAACATTGTAACACTGCCAACTAGAGGCTTGAAAAATACTTTATTTGAAGCTGAGAGAACTGTGAAAAACTCTCTCTCAAGGACACTGGAACTTGATAAGATAGAGGGAAGAACACTGGAGAATGTTTTTACAGGTGTTCTTTGGGACTTCTATCAACAATTGAATATTTGAAGCTTGGCTTTGAAATTTGTGGAGAAGTCATAATAAGAGCCTTGGATAATTAAATAAAATGCAGTGTGCTCTTTTTTCTATTTTTTCTTAGCTGTCTTATCCCTCCTCTTCAATCCCATAGTATTCTGTAATATTTGTATATATATATTTTATTTCTTTTCTTTTTAAAGGGAAAGCCTCAGAATATCTTTTTCTTTTTCTTATTGGGACTTTTGCCTTTTCCATTTTCATTTTTGATCCATTTTTATGGCTATTTTTTATTATTGAGGTCTTTCAACTGGATTAAGGTGTGAAGAACCTGAAGAATTCTTTGTTTCTTTCCTACTACTTTTTAATACTATTGGGTTTTATTCTTTTTCTTTTTAATTTTTACTTTGAATCATAATTGACTATCCCACAATAGGATTAAGGTCTAGAAGAACCAGAATTGATGCCAATTTTTGGAATGACCCACTTAGTTATGGTGATCCACTTGAGTGACAGTAACTCACTTAATGACAGTGTCAGCATTCAGGGAGGAGAAACGGAAAAAGCACAAATAAAGGAGTCAGAAGATCATTTAGGTATAAAGCAAGAGAGTGTTGACACTGAAGAGCAGTCAATGCTACGCAGGTCAGAGCGATGGAACAAAGGGATTCCACCTGACAGGTATTCTGCTAGTAAAGTTAAAGTGTGTAATGTGTGGCATGAGCCAAGGAACTATAAAGAAGTATTGGCATTACCCAAAATTGAACAAATAAAGTGGAAAGAAACCATGGACAAAGAAATGAAATCCATGGATGAACATAAAGTGTTCACTTCTATGACTTTGCCACAGGGTTGCAAAGCCATAGGTGTAAGTGGGTGGTACAAAAAGAAAGTACTGTCCAACAATGAGGTACAAGGCAAGATTAGTAGCACAAGATTTTTCACAGAAGAAAAATGTGCACTATGACAAGGTATTCTTGCCAATGGTGAAAAGTGAAAGTATAAGGTTGGCACTAGTGTTGGCAGTGGCACGTGGCCATAAAATTTGGCATTTTGATATATTCCTCAATGTGGAATTAAATGAAGAAATTTTACATGGTTCAAGCACCAGGGTATGAAAGTGAAAAGCCTAACACTGTATATAAATTGAACAAGGCTATTTATGGGCTGAAGCAGTCAGCTAGGAATTGGAATATCTGTCTAGATGCTGCATTGAAGGGTCTTGGGTTCAAAAGTTGCAAAGTTGATGCTTGCACATATATTGGAAAAATACAAGGTGGGGATTGTCAGTTGTTAGCAATTGTGGATGCTCTTTGCTTTATTCAAAGGATGTGTCACAGAAAAAGGGATTTGCTAACCAAATAGAGAGAAAATTTGAATTAAAAGGTTTGGGTGAGGACAAAAATGACGAAGCTATTGGGTCACGGGGGAAATCCTACCGGCATTACAACTGGTTCGGTGAGCATGTGTTTTGCATGGGTGCTCATGCTTCATGTGCATGTGCACTGTTGCCAAATCACTGGCTCCTGCAAGCATTCACCTTCTCCTGCTGATGCGTGGCACTCAGCTGTGCCACACAAAGCAGCAATAAAGCACAGCCTACAGCCCGGGTGGGCAGGTGGGCCAAACGGAAAACCAGATCATCACAGCGAACTGGTTCAATCTCAGCTGCTCTTTGGAGCTACCAGTTCGGTAGAACCAGGCCGAACTGGTAGCATCCCACTCCTGCATTGGGTGGAGTGCACCATCCATATTAAGTTATTCAGTTTTATGTCTATCATGAAGGGAGGAGCGTCAGTATAGTTTAAGAATTAGAATAGACATGGTAACCGGTCAGCCAATGGGGACAGTTTGGATAGACATGGTAATAGGTCAGTCAAGGGGGCTGTTTGAATAGGCATGGCAACTGGTTGGCCAAAGGGGACTGTTTGGAAACTGAAACATGGTATTCATTTGTAATGGGGCCATAAGAGAGTTTGGAGTCTGGGCGTGGCTTAGACTTGCTGAACTGTATATAAGAGTTGGTTTGTACTGTTACCTAGGCCTCTGTATCTCTCTACTCTGTAATGACTTACTTCTATGAATACTGCTTCTGTGTACCTGATTTTGTATGCTGATTTCCACTATATGGTATTGTATATAAAGAAATAGGTTTCTTATATAGATGAATCCTGCAGAATTATTTGTGTGCTGGTTGGATGTGCTGCAAACTGACTTATGTCCCAGAGAAGTTCCTTTCCTACTGAAGCAGCCTATCTTTCCAGAAGAGTGAAGGCCCGGCTCTCTGTCGTTAGTATGATTGTGTTCTTACATTGCAGCTGTATTGTTCAGCTGTAAAATATCTAACCTAAACATTACAATGCAGGGTTCCCCATTTCAAGAAGGGTTTTATTGATATTACTTACTTGAATAAAGGCAATTGTATATGTATACAATCACAAAAACATTTGAAAAGTTATTGTTTTATCTATTATAGTACTTCATTAAAATGAGTAAAACAATAACTTTTATGGACTTTTATTGAATATAAATCTAATCTTTATTAAAATGCTGAATTTGAGGTTGCTAATTAATATTGAGCTAAAGATTCCTTTAGATAAAAATTAGCAATTTTTATAAAAAAAATATCCATGTTATATTCTTTATAAACACATCACCATTAATGCATCAGAAAGAGATTATCAAATTTGGTTTATATAGAAAAATGAAACATGTAGGTTAATGAGTCTTAACTTTTATTTTTTAGCAAATTTCTAAATCATATGTAAGCCCTCTATCAGAAACATGATGCAGTGGGCACCTTAGCTCAGGCAAGTCATTCAGATGATGTTCATAGGACTCCAATTTCAAGATTAAATATTCCTAGCATGGTGTGAGCAAATGTTTGCAAGATTTTCTGCAAGGCCAAGATCTTGTAGAATTTAATAATCTTCTGAGATTTGGGCTGTTAAAATAATTTGTGCTAGAGCAGGGCTGTCAAACTCCTGGCCCATGGGCCAGATGCGTCACATGCTGGCCACGCCCACGCCCAGTTTAGCAAAGGGAAAAAAAGTCTCAATACATCATGTGATACTGCTGTAATGATGTGAGTCTGATACTCCTCTACTACAGGAATTATCTGCAATAGTATGCATAAGATCTTGAAATTCAAAAACTTCAATGGCCAATATTTGTTGCTGAAACTTCAGGTGATTTTTTTTTACAAAGTGATTAAAAAGAACCAGACTAACAGAGAAAATGTTGAGTTAGGGTTTATAAACTTTTAGATTCACAAATCTTTATTATATGACAAAAGAAAATTTAGAAATATATGTCCATTCGTAAGGCTATTATCCGATGAAAGCAAATCCAAGTTTGCATCTCTCAATACTACTCATTTAAGAAAATATTAACATAATGGAAACCAGAAAATAGTCATTTGACACTTCAACAGAAATTTGTAAGCTCTATAGTTCTGCAATTAACAGGCTACTTGATATTTTTAGCTCAAGAAAATGATATAAAATACTTAGAATTACAATATCAAAAAAGTCCAATTAATTGATCAATTTTGTCTTCTCTCGATGATATGTAGCTGTTCATTGTCCTGGCCAGATTTTCATGGTATTTCTCCAAGCCAACCCTCAAGCTGAGGTAGATCTCCTTAAAGAGGTAGAAGATCAGCAGATGTTATTTTTTATAAGAGACATGAGATGTACATACACACACACCCATTCCCTTAAGAGATGTATTTTATAATGTTAAGTACAAGGAACAGGCATTTGCCAAACCTATCAAACATCTTTTTTAAAAAAGTTTGGAATGAAAGTGTTCAGAGTCTCTTCTCATCCATACAACTTCTCAAGAGTAGAGCTGTTTAATTTCTTTAGGCTTGAGAGTTCAACCAGCCTTATCAAGGACAATCCTACTCAAGGTACATTTTGGCTGAGGGCTGCCAAGGAATTTTAAGTGGCAAAATGGGTCAAAAGTCATACTGCACACATTTGCTCCCTTCAAACTTTCCCAGCTATATGAAATAAATGCAAAAAGAACTGTGCCAAGTGTTTGACTATCTATTTTATCTATATTTCCAGGGCAAAGAAATGGAATGTTGATGCCACATGAAGTCTTGTGCAACACTTTTTCTATCTTTATTCTAGAGCAGTGATGGCTAACCTATGACACGCCGAGGCACTTTGACTGACACGCCTGTTGGTGTGGGGAAAACCTGCATTTAGAGGCTGCCTGTGCTCTGCTCCAATCCCTGCTCCCTGCTTGTTGTGTGGAGGCGTGGTGTCACCGCTGCCGCAAGATCTTTGCAGCAGAGAACCAGTTTTAACCGCCATAAACTGAGGTTTGTCAGTTTCATTACCTCAGGAACGCTACAGGAGGAAAGGAGATCCATGAGGTTCACAGCCCTGTAAGGTGGCCTTCCGATCCCCACATCCTGCACCTGCAGCCCCGAGACCAGGGAGACGAGTTTCACAGCCCTGTGTGATCACCCCAGCCCAGTCCGTCATAAACCAAATTATTGATATTTCTTGACACACGACCCGAGGAAGGCTACACTTTTTCCCGATTTTCGACACACCAAGCTGAAAAGGTTATCCATCACTGTTCTAGAGCCATTTAAGGGCTGTCTGTACATGATTGTGAAATCTTAAAAACACCAGCCATTACTCTGCAGCATATCATTCAGGAGTTGATCTGTAAAGAATATTTAACCATGCATATACATGTACACACATATATGGAAGGAAAATATACAAACTCTGTAGTATCAGAATTCAACAGTGCCCACTTCCTGGATAAGTCATTGAATGAATTTTTGTATTACTGTGCTGTTTAATCACATTTGGGTATTATGCCAGGCTAAGCGCTCAGCAAATGAATGCCTGGACAAGGCCGGCCAATGTTACTCAGATGATACCTGCCCCCCTGGAAGGTTGGGCATGCTCAGTCTCAATGTCTGCAGGGACCGAAACCAATGTATACCTCTACACATAGAAGTTTTCACCCTGCAGATGACATGAGCAGGCTGGATAACTTCATACCTGAAAAAGCTTTAACAAAAGCCACATAAGCAAGAGTGTCTGCTGCACTCACTCACCTTCTCTTTCACCTTCTCTTTCCCAATACTGTCACTGAGCTGTTGAATGGCACCTTTGAGTTGCATGATTTCTGTGTCTGTTGCTGTCAGTTTTTCACAGACAACTCCTCTCTTCTCTTGAAATTTATTGCAGCATCTAGAAAATATTTTTACTATTTAGAAACACCATTCACAAATTAAGATTTAATTAATCTTTTTATGAAGAAAAAAGTGGGTCATAAAAATTAAAAAGCTAGGGTGTTATGGTTTATTGTTTAATGGTTGAACTAAGTTCCATTCCTTCTATGTAATTTGGGATATGGATTTGGGAAACATCAACCAGCCCTAATTCTCAAAAGCAGACAGGACTGGAAAATGGTGCAAGTTCCTTCCATTTCACTCTGTATAGTGAAGAAAAAAAGAGAATGGTGCCAAGTATTTCTGCATCCTACTGATCAACTCCTTGAAGTATCAGGTGGCAATAAAGGATAGCTTTTTAGTCTCTTAGGAATGTTATCTGAATACAGCACTACTTTCTGTTGTAAATATTGTCATGTGTCTCTATTGATGACAAAACTGTCTAGGACCAAGCATAATTTCCCATTTTGCTTGCATTCCTTTGGGATCCAAATCTCAATTTCCCAACAGACCTTGAAGTGTTTGATAATGAGAAAAATGACAGTGAAATTATGAATGATTCAGGAACAGCAAATAGTTGTCATGAAGTTATTCCACTGTTACTTTTCTCAGGGAGCTAAAGGATAGAAAAGCAGCATGAAGTTCAAACTATACTGAAAATTGTGTCTTCAAGAACATACCTATTTACTAAAAGCAGTATATTTTAGTGTGTTGTAGAACAGGGCTGTCAAACTCCCGGCCCACGGCCAGATGCCTTATGCACTGGCCAAGCCCACACCCAGTTTAGCGAAGGGGGAAAAAGTCCCAATACATAATGTAATGCCACCGTGATGTGAGTGTGACACCCTGTTGTAGAAAGTCAGCGCCTACCCTCCTAGAAGAATGAAATATTTTGGGAAATATTAAAAAAGGCAGAATATTATATTTTCCCAAAGGGAGAACTGGAGAAATATGTTTTTAGAGGCAGATGTCAGCCTTAATAGCCCACAGCAGATGTCAGCACTTAAGAGAAAAAGAGCATATTGAAAAAGGAAGACATGTATCTAGATAGCTCTATTCATAGGCAAGGCAAATACTGCAAGCAGATATCCATTTAAGACAGGATATTTTGAAATTCTCTGCAGCAAAGTCTGAACAAAGGCAGAATGGTAGGATTAGCCCTCACTCAAGATCCAACACTGGAAAAGGCATTAAGACACAATAGGAATTGCCCAACACCCTTTCAGAACACAAGCCCCTTCATTGCACCATCTCAGAGCAGTCCAAACTTCAACCAAACCTGGAGCTCAAACACCTAGGATTTGCATTTCCTCTTTTGCCTAGACAGCTATGACCCCATAGGAATCTGACAACAGCCAACAGAATATATGTTCTTGCACAAGAACAAGAAGCTCAAGTGCGAAGCCCAAAGAAGGTATAAAAACCACCCACTCTCAACTCTTTTGTCAGAACCACAAACCCATGTGGTTTTGCTTCATCAATAAGCCTTCTTTTCAATCAACCTCCATGTTTTCAGTATCTTTCTCCCAGCTTGGAACTGAACCAGATGGGTATTTCTTCCCAGTGTTTTCTTCAAATTGCTAATTTTGAATTGTATCAAAGGTGTTGGCAGAATAAGCAGAATTAAACAATGATCTAAATGCCAGTATTCATACTCAGTTATCGCCTGTTTCTGTAGTTCAGTATTCTCATATATCTTTTTAAGTTTAATTTCAACAGCAGCAAGTTTTTCACGTTTAACTGTGACTAATCTCTTCAATGATATTTCCTCTGTCTTAGCATTCTTCAGTCCACTTTTGCTATTCTCAATCTGGTCCTCCAACATTCTGATCTGAAAAACAAGTGTTTTAGAATGCAAGTAGCAGACATGTCATTAATTAGTGAAAATACTACTTCAAATGCTATAGAGTTAAACAAATGCAACATCTGAGCAATCCACATTTAGTAAGCCAATTTATTTTGGAAAAAAACTTGAAAGAGGTGTAATATTTACATAATATTCTTGCAAAAAGAAAACAATTAGAGTATATATAGATATTCACTATTGTTTCCCCAAGGTTACAAAGACTGCTTTTCAAATGTTTTTTAGAGTTGTTCTATTATGGGTTCTTAAAGGAATGTGCTATTCTGCTCATAACAGATTGGTAAATGAGCTATTGATGCAATATGAAACCTCATGCATTGCGGAAGAACAATCTACAGGTAATCCCCAGGTTACAAGTGTTCCCATTGCAAATGTTTGAAGTTATGCAATTAGCGCCCCATAGCGTTTACAAACAATCCCTGAAATTATGAAATCTCATAATTATGAATATTGCTCTGCAACATTTCCCCTGCCTATTCCCCCCACCCCCCACTGAGACTTCACAGACATTTTGCCTGTGGAGATTTATTTATCTTGCTAAGATCTCTGTTGCGCTTTCTTTGCCTGCTTCATTGTTTCAAGCTTTGCTGCATTCACAGAGAACAGAAGCCTAACGTACCGGGAGATCATGCGAGATAAGAAGCACGAGAGCTTGTGCTGCTGATCTTGTGTGATCTCGCACTTTAGGCCTCTATTCTCTTGGAATTGAGGCCTGGACATTTGCAAACGGAGGGAAGGTGGTCCTAAAGGCCTTCCCTCTGTTTGCTGTTTCCTTGCCAAAGCCTGCAGGAGATTGCGTTCTTGTAGGCTTTGGTAGCTCTTTTCAAAAAGCTTTTGTTAGCACCAGCGGAGCTTGGGAGGAGAGGGTGTCCCCCTCTGATGCTGTTCCTACTGGCAAGGGCTTTTTGAAAAGGGCTGCTGAAGCCTAAAGAGACGTAATCCTCAAGTGCTTTGGCGACGTGGATTGCTGGAGGCCCCGAAGGCCACGTGCAGCCCTTCAGGTCTCCTTTCTCGCTGGCGATCCACTTGATGAGGTCTCCAGTGACAAAAAAGGAGGCCCAGAAGGCCAAGCGCAGACTTCCGGGCCTCTTTTCATGCTGGCAATCCACATGACAAGGCCTCCAGTGACAAAAAAGTCCTCATCAAGCCCGTTGCTGATGAGAAATAAGGAAGCAGGCAAAGAAACAGGGTGGAGAGGAGACATCTCTTCATAAAGTTACCTGGCGCGGCAGGATGGGGGTGGAAGCAATTGTGGGGACCCCATGGGAGGGAGATAAGGTATCTGTGGGTTGGGGGAGGCCTTGGGTTGTCTGAAGTAGATGGCCTGTTTGATCACTAGCCCCACCCCAAGATACCTCATGTGCACTTAACTACCCTCGCATTCGATTAGTGAATGCTTGGGCGAAAGGAGGGAGTGATCACATTCAAAGTACGAGATTCACTCTCACAAATCCTCAGGTTACAAATGAAATGGGCAGGTTCCATTATATTCATAACTCAAGGACTACCTATATTACTTTGCTAAGAGTTTGTCTGGATGAGTTGCTGCTAGTAAAACTGGGGGTTTCAGGCAAAATCTTACTTTGCCTCAATGTAACTTAAGTATGATTTTGCCTTCCAATCCATTTCCCGCAGGGCTATAAGTTTTTCCCCCAGTTCAGATTTAATATAAATTGAGAAAAATGGGTTTCCATTACCTCCCTCTAATTTGAAGAGGAACTTGGTAAACTTCAGCAAATATACATGTGTGTGTGTGTATGTGTGTGTGTTCATGTACACGCTTACTTTAAAACAAGGAAGCAAAAAAAAAAGTCCTATTTCATTTATGAGCCCTCTAACGCTGTGCTGAATCCACTATTTCAGACTATATTCTACTAAGAATGAGTACCTCAAAATATTTTATCAACAAGCTTGATAGATATAGTTGAATAGCACAAACCTGGGCCAATATATTTGATAGCTTATCCATATTTGCTCCTTGTGTTTGCATTTTCTTTCTATAAAATTGGACCTCCTGTTGACACGATGGAAACATCTCTACCAAGTCTCTATAAGATTCATACTTCTCAATTACTTCTTGCTTTATAATAAAAGAAATAGGAATTAAGGAGATTGGTATAGGTGGAGCTGCAACATTCCTAATATGCATGTAGCCACATGAAACTGTCTAATCAGTCTTGTGTTCCAAATCCAAAGTACTATAACTGTCAGCAATTCCTTTCTTCTATCTTTTATTTTGTCATTTAAAGTTTTCTACCATGTTACAGGTTATCTTATTTTTGATATAATGAATTTTCAGATCCAAATAACATTTCATATCTCAATCATTGATATTTTATAATTAGGATAAATATCAAGGGGAAAAAATATTTTTCCTGTGTTTTTCTCTAGAGGTTCATTAACATTTCTGTGCTGCACAAGATACACGTCTGTCTCCAGGGCAGGCCATTATTTTTCTCAGCTGCAAATTTGCTGATCAATAGTGGGCAAACAAGTTGGCACTATATTAGGCTCTATTGGTGCCCATCAAGATGAAACTAACAATTGATGAAGGCAAGGACATAAGTGTATTTCTGAGCAAAAAGAAATATGTATGTATCGATATACCTGCTTGTCTTTTTACTCTTTATATCACAAGAACGGTAAACTTTTATTATGCTCCACAAATACTAGAGAGATTAAAAACAAGAAATCTCAACCATTCACTGGAAAGGGGAGCAAAATTACACAGTTGCTCAATTTTTAAAATGTGGTGAAGCAGTAGTGTGGCATTCTGGTGCTTGAGCACTTTGCTCAAGCAAAAAAAAAAAAAAAGAGCCTAGGAGACAGGACGTAAGAGATCTTGGCAACAGAGAGCAGACTGCTGTGTAATGCCTGTGGCAAATTTACTGCTGCAAACCTGTCTTCACAACAGTTCCTTCAATTGAGTTATCTGAGCTGGAAATAAATTGGTTGAAATGATGAAGAGCTAAATAATTTGGGAACCAAATTTGGGAACATTACTACTCCTGAAGAGACTGTGAGGACATGCATTTAAATATTTCTGTAGACATAAAAAAGCTAGAAGAAAGTTGAGACAGTGGTCAAATTTTGCACTAATGATACCTTTCCACTGACTTTCATTATTGCAACAAATATGTAACATACAATCAACTGAATTAATTTTGAAAAATGTATATTCTTATGAATTTAACTTAATTTTAGGAATCCATAGAAGCTGAAGCTATGGGAGGCAAATCTGACAAATACTTATTTTGTTATAAATTGTAACTGCTATGATAAATTATAAAAGAAAACAGAAAATGCCCTTATTAAGATTCACCTTGTCTTTTTTAATCTTCTGCTGTGTCTGCTTCATCCGTTCCCTGATATTAGTGAGTGTCTCTGGAGACTCTGTAATCCTGGACTTCAGTTGCTCTTGTTCTTGTTTTAGATAACAGACTGCCATTTTCAGATCGTTCTGTTTATTGAGAAATTTTTTTTTTAATCCTAATGCTTTCAGTAGTTTAGAATCATTTGATTATCAAATAAATCTTAAGCAGCTAAATTGTCAGTGTTTGTGTATACATTTTGCAGAGAAGGATTAAGAGCCCAACACATAGTCATTTCTTTTAATATGAATAAATTGCAGGACTGTTAATTTCCCTATAGGAAATACACAAAAAGCATGCATAAAAAAGATAGCAAGGCATTCTTAAATATAAAGTTCTCCATTTGACTGGATTTAAGATTGCATTTTCATTGCATTGCACTGTTTTTGTACTTAAATATTTTGTCAATATTTTCTCTACAGATTTAGAGGCTGGAGAGTGTTGTTGCCAAAACCAGATATTTATTTATCCTTTTACACTGAATTATTGCAGTTCCTTGTCTCTTTTTGTTAAGGGACTTGGAGATTGCAGCACACATTCCCAAATGCATAAAAGATTATACTGAGGTTGGCCTCCAAGTTTTACATGCATGAACCGTTTATGCTCTTGTGCAGTTTATTGAACATGTGTTTATAAATAGGTCGGATGCCCATGTATTACTGATGCTAGTAGTGAATTTGAACAGAAAGAATTGGATTAGGTAACCTGTAAGGACAGTTGCTATATTCTATGATGATGATGCTGTCAATGGTATATTTTGTCTGTAATCGTTTGATGTGTTTGCCACGGGTTTTCTGTCTTCAAGGGTTAAAGGAAGACTTGTTGTTTGATGAAAGAGTATGAGTTTGATTCTGTTTATGATTACTTTTTCTATTATGTATACTAAAGAGTAATTATGATAAATTTAATTTACATTTTGAATGAATGTGGTTCCCAGGGTCAGTTAATCAGTCTGATAGAATGCAAATAGCTTTTTTGGCAGCCACCCAGCATCAGGCTGCTGAAAAGGAAAAGCAACCCATTTCTTTCAATATTGAGGTAGATTTTGAAAGAACATGATTCCTCTCCCGTGATCATTAGATGGCACCAAAGAGTCAGGGTATTTTGTTATGTTTTTGCCATCACCTAGTGATTCCTGAGAATTTTGAAGCTGCAAAATTCTGCTGTTGCAATATCTAGAACTTCCAAAACTGTTCTGGATTCTGGACTGACAAAAGCATGCATATGGTGGGACAAGAACTCAGTTTCCAGGTTTCAAGCCCAGTACCTTAACCATTACACCAAACTGGTGTACTATAGAACAGACAGTAATGGATACTGCTTTATTAAAAAAAAACAGTAAGTTCAGAATAAATGTAAAGTGGGAGTATTTGCAACAGTAGTCTCCTGGGAAACAGGAGAGGGATGAAACTGTTACCATCAAGGTCAGGACAAATGTGCTGACCCTTACCCTCCCTGTTATCTCCTGTCAAATGTCCTTGCCCTGCACTTCTTTGTTAATATGGGTGGGGGGGATGAAATGCAATTTGGTAACTCTAACTCACAAGACAGGGAAACCAGGCAGCATTCAGAATAACCTTGTTTCTTATTCATCTTCAAGATGGGGAGGAAAGTATCATTTTACATTCAGAGCCGATTTCATTTCTGATCAATACCATATAGGATTTTTGTTGAAAATTGTAGGCCAAAACTAGATGATACTGGTAGGCCTCATGTATTATGCCATTTTTAATGCAATGTAGCTTGTGTTGAAAAAGTACTCTATTTCCCTACCTGATGTAGAGCTATAGAAGATGCTATTCATGATTCACAGCAATACTATAGTATAGTATACATAACATCCCTCATTTCTATCACAAAGAGAAAAAGTGCCTACATTAGAACAAATCAGATCAAATTAACCTGTGATATAAATGACCACAGATTTTCTCACAATTTAAAATCCTTTTCTATGAACATTGTATTGCAGGTGTTTTTCTTGTGTTTGGTTTAGGATTGTAAATTGATTTAAATTGATGGCAGACAGATTAGAACAAAAAAGAATAGATGGAAAAGAAATTGGTCTATCTCTGTCCATACAGCATTTCTGAACTGAGCATTCATTATACAGAGGGATGGATTATTTGCCAGAAGATTAAATTTCACTTCAAAGGGGGTATGTCAGATTATACAGGGATGTATGTTAGTACATATCTGCAAATTCTTAAACCAAATGCATATCTTCCCAAGAATGTAAAGCAACTGCATGTAAAAGATAAAAGACTAGGCTGTTTCAAAAAGTTGCAAACTGGTATTACTTGCACACCCTTACATGTTTTCAACTAGCTTTTTGTCTTTGAATTCAAAGTGCTGGTTTCTGATGTATGAATGAATGAATGATGCGGTTCCAATCTTCAAAAACCAAGGAAAAACATGTTTTGCTTGATGTACTATGCAAATATATTGTGCCTTGAAGCTTACCTGAACCATTCTAGAGAGCACAGTGACACTTAAGCAAAATGGGTGGAAATGGGTTTTGATAAAGAAAAACCAAAGGTGACTTAAGGGACAAATAGGACAATGCTGGTATAACATACCTGTTTTTTCTCTCCTTCTTCCCATCTCTATATGGTTAGCTTTCCTTCCCTCCCACCCTAAAATACCTGTTACAACAGTGACTCTGGGCCTGGAACCTGACAAAAAATGCATTTAAAATTATTTAAAAATAAAACACACCTTGATCTGGGCAGGGGATGCCTGAACTCATACAGAAGGGGCTTGCACATCCCTAATGGAAAAAAATCTCACTTCAAAAGTGATACAAGCATGAAGTGGAGACTGTGAGTTCAATCCTATGTAGAAGCTAATATAAGCAGGGGGTTGGACTAGATGACCTCCAAAGTCCCTTCCAACTCTGTTATTCTTGAATAAAATTTGACAGACTTGAGCACTGGGCCCTGGCTAACAAGATGCAGTTCAGTGGGGGGAAAGTAAGGTCCTGCATCCAAAATCAAATGCATAAGCATAAAAATAGGCTGTACCTGGCTCAACAGTAGTAACTATGAGAGGGATCTAGGTGTCCTTGTGGACCATCACTTAAGTATGAGCCAGCAGCAACCAAAAAAGCCACTGCAGTCCTGGGCTGCATCAATAGAAGGGTAGCATCAAGATCACAAAAAGTGATAGTACTGCTCTGTACAGCAGTAGTGAAGCCACACTTGGAATACTGCATCGAGTCCTGGTCATCATGAAACAAAAAAGATGCTGAGACTGTTAGGAACGATAGTCACCTAACAGTTGGGTTGGCAATATATAAACCAAGACAGTCATTTAATACTGTTGTATCTTTAAGAGAATGCTGTAATTATGAATACCTCAACAGACTCTAGTGCAGAGAACAACAGCACAGATGATAAAGACTTTGGAGGCTAAATCGTACAATGAATGGTTAAGGGACTAAGGTATGCCTAGCCTATCGAAGAGAAGGACTAGGGATGACATGATAGCTGTCTTCCAGTGCTTGAGGGGCTGTCACAAAAAAGAGGGGTTGACTTATTCTCCAAATCACCCAAGGGTAGGACAAGAAGCAATGGGTGTAAGATCATTAGAGATCCAAACTGGAACTAAGGAGAAATTTCTAAATAGTGAGAACAATTAACTAATGGAACAATTTGCCTCCCAGAATTGTGGGTGCATCATCCCTGGAGGTCTTCAAGAAACGATTGGACAACCATTTATATGGTATGATGTAAGGTCTCCTGCCATAGGCAGGGGGTTGAAGACCTCCAAGATCCTTCCAGCCCTATGATTCTAAAATATAACAACTTTGAAATATTTTTCAAAGAATCTCACATTATACAGTATGTAAACTATTATGGATAAGCATATACTCTTACCAGTTTTTGAAATTTGATTCTTAAATTTATTGATCTTTGCTTAAATGCTACTTACTAAATTTTGATTTTTTTCTGCAATTTCCATTCTTTTTTGGTGGATCACTTCTTGTAAAACATTCTACAAAAAAATTGCATGACAATTAAGAACATTTGCAATGCTTATACAGTAATCTGTCCCAATCCCAGAAGACTTTTAAGTGACAAATAGCAATACACAAAGTAAAAGTATTGTATTATAAAAGCCAAACCTTAAATATAAAGGATAAACAGGCCCACTAAGGATCTAGGGGCCAAAAGGTTGCTAAAACAATATAGGCTTGGCTTGCTTACTGAACATTAACAAGGTATGGTGTGGGAAGTTTCAGAAAATGTGGCTGCCATGGGCATGGGAAATCTAGATGACTCAAATGGATTTCAATCCTCCCGAAGTGTTGTGTAGTATGTCACAGTGTTACACCATATACAGCTTTAAAGATAATTACCACTATATTAAATGAGGCTTAGATGCTTACTGGCAACCAATCCACCATTTTAGTAGTTTTAATTCTTCATTATCAAGGCTGTTCCAGCCTTGCCACCATATTTTGCAGCCGCTGTACCTTCCACGTGATATCCAAAGGCAGCCCCACCCAAAAGCACATTGAAGGAATCCCATCAGGTTGTGATAGGACAGGAGTTATTGTGGCCATGGCACCCTAGTACAGGTAAAGCTGTGTCATCAGGGTTACCTGAGTGGTACAAATTGGTGTGGAGCCTTCTTGGACCTGTTGAAAGGACTGTTGCAAATTGGAGATAGATGATGCCATATGCCTCCCCCTCTGTCGGTCTGTTCAATTTTGACACAGATGGCCTCTTTAACCCCTTTCAAACCAGCGGTCTGTCCAAAATATGGACTTTTTTGTCTTCAAAAGAGTGGCCTGTGTCTTTTAAATGCAGATGGACTGCCATATCTAGTCCTGATGTGTTTGTTCTCCAATGTTGTGCCATGCATTTATAAAGTGGTTGTTTCATTTTCCAAATGTACAGATCTGTACATGGCTCACTGCACTGTACTACATATAGCACGTTCCTCAGTTTCTGTCTGGGTGTTTTATCCTTGGGGTGAACATGTTTCTGCCTTACTGTATCCTTGGGTTTGAAGTGTGCACATGTTATGCACATAAGATCCTCTTGAGTTTTTCCCATATGCCTGCAATGTACAGAATGACAATGTTGCTTCGTTTATTGTCCTTGTCATTGTCTGTTACAGCAGAGATCCTGTAGGGTCTTTTTTGAGATCTGATGAAGGCCCAAAAAGAACATAAACACATCAAAAAGAAAATGAACATGAAGAAAAAGAACGTAAACACATCAAGGAAGCCCCTCAGAACATGTGACTATCCCAATTGGGCCTTCAGCAAATCTCAAAAAAAAAAAGAAAAACTACAGGAGCCTTCTTGGATAAAAAGCGAAACATCTTCAAAGGAAAACCAGAAAGTCCAGTTTCCTCTTGAAAAAAGCACTTTTGGGACACACACCCGAAGACTCCATCATAATAATCATATGGGCAATTCACTGAAATAAAAGATAAACCTCACTCCCAACTCCTGAATGTGAACTAGAATTACAGCATGCTCATTGTTATCAAAAGCTGCTAATAGCTCTACCAAGACGAAGAGACTCCCCACTTCTAGCTCTCATGAAGGTCATCTACCAGAGCAAATAATTCTGTATTTCTCCCATTAATGAATCCCAACTGAAAAGGATCTATATATTTTCATATGTTGAAAGAGTGTCTTCTATTTTTCATCTTAGAATACCTTCAGTTTTAATAAGGCATTTTTTCTTCCAAAGTATAAAGTATTTCTAGTAAGATTAAGATCAGGTTTCACATATCACAATTAGCTAAATGGTTTATAAAGTAACCTATATGTGAATCCAGCCAACTATACTTTATTCAATAAACCAAAGCTAAGAATCTTATTTTACAATGAGACATTAACCCAGCTATTATGAGCATATGAGCCATACAAAGGAGAATAGCCGATCCAATTCAGCTCCTCAGAAGCAGTTTATAATAGCTTTACTAGAAAATAGGGAAGAAATAACCTCAGTGTTATTTATTGTTATTCACTGTAAGTCACACATCTCTGGTACAAAATACCCTGTTTCTCCAACAATACGGCCTCCACCAATAGCAAGGCCCAGCCTGATTTCTAGGCATGAGGTGAAATTAAGCCCTGCCCCCCAAATTTAGGCCTATTTAATCCATGGGTTTCCCCGCCATTTCTCACATTGTTCATTAAAACTACACGAGGTAAAGAGAAATGGGGGGAACAGGGGGAGAAAACTTGCCTTTAGGAGCACCCTGCACGTAGAATACCCCAATCTACTACCGATAGAACATCAGCCGATAGAAGCTCCCCGAAGGCAGAGTCACCAGCTGCTTCTATCGGCCGGTAGAAGCGGCCTTGGGGCGAGCGCCCGCGTGCACTCCTCTCACCACAAAGCCATTCTATCAGCCGATGGAAGCTCCCCAAAGGCAGAGTCATCAGCCGCTTCTATCGGCCGGTAGAAGTGGCCTTGGGGCGAATGCCCACGCACACTCCCCTCGCCACAAAGCTGTTTCTATTGGCCGATGGAAGCTCCCCGAAGGCAGACACCAGCCGCTTCTATCTGCTGGTAGAAGCAGCCTCAGGGCGAGTGCCCCACACATACTCCCTTCGCCACGAACCCGCTTCTACTAGCCGATAGAAGCAGCTGGTGACTCTGCCTTTGGGGAGCTTCCATTGGCCAATAGAAACGGCTTCGTGGTGAGGGGAGTGCATGTGGGCGCTCGCCCCGAGGCTGCTTCTACCGGCTGATAGATTTCCTCCCTCATGCACACCCCCACCTAGAGCGGCCCATGCGCACTCAACTCTCCACAAGGCTGCTTCTACCAGCTGATAGAAGCGGCTGGTGACTCTGCCTTCGGGGAGCTTCCATCAGCCGATAGAAGTGGCCTCGTGGAGAGGTGACTGCGCATGGGGCACTCTAGGTTGGAGTGTGTGTGGGGGAGGAAATTAAGTCAGCCCCTAAAAGACATCCTAGCCGTTTTTTCGGGGCTCAAAAAAAAAAAAGACCCGGCCTTATTTTATGAGAAACACGGTATAATTATGAGAATGGGAACATACAATTGCAACAAATCAGTGGATATTTTCTAAATCCTAAACCATTAATGTAATATTCTAAAAATGTAGCAAGTGACAGTAGAGGTGATCATGACCGTGATGAAGCCTGCCCATCATGGTCATAAAATGGGTCGGTCATATGACCAACAAAATTTCACCAGTTTTTTTGCAGCAGTCATTAAGCAAACACCCAAGTCACTAAGTAAACCAATGGTTCACTAGGGGCACAGTTTTGTTGAAAACCGGAAGTAAATGCCAGATTTTGACAATTGTAAAATGCAATTACATGACCATAAAATGCTGCAAATCACTATGAATGCAGTCAGGGAGAAGGGGTTGCAATCATTGCAATTTCAAATCTGGGTCCAAAGTAGTCCCTGGTAGGTCCATCATCATTTCCAATAGTCACTAAGCAACTTGTTATAAGTCAGGGTCTACCTGTATATGTTTTACTACAAGTTCTTTTAAGCTGTTATGTAACGGACAGCTACACAGCATAGCTTGTGGATATCACATGAACTCTAGTAAGAATACATACTGTTTTCTGCCAATATTCTTGGTTGAGTTTATGCTGTAGTTCTTGAATTTCTTGAGACAGCTCCTTGAACTCTACTTCTTGGTCTGCAGGAACAATACTAAGTATATAGAAATAGTGCTCAGTTTAGAGAAAAATGAATTTCACATATAAATTTAACATACAGAAAGTACATATTGTTTCACTATTTAAAAAGCTGCTTATTTTTGATGAAGCTACTTGGCAATCTTACGTTCTGCAATAATATATGTAATGTAAAATTTTAGATATGTATATAAAACATCTTTCTATAGATATTTGCTTAGACAATTTCAATTTAATATACAAGATTTTAAAAATCTTAATTTGGAGAAGATGACTTTTAAAGATCTTGCATGAAAATAGCAGGGGAGATAAACCAATATGACGGACACAAAGAAACCTATTGCCCCTTATTAACCCAAGCCACATCTAGACGAGGAACTCAATAATTATTTGCACCTAAAATAGTGACTGTAGCTCCAGAAAATTGGTCCAAGAAAAGTACAATCCATTTCTTTTTTAACTGAAATCAAATCCCCGTAATTTTGAGGCTGTATTATAGAAACTGAACCAATTTGGTTCCAATAAGCCATTGTGAGAATGTGTCCTTCCCAAAATATTTCAACCATGCTTTCCATTGGGAAACCACCACTACCCTCTCTCTCTCTCTTACACACACACACGCACATTCAAATAAGCTCTTCTTTTCCCCCCGATCCACTAAGACAGGAGTTGGCAACCTTAAACAGTCAAAGAGCCATTTGGACCTGCTTTCCACAGAAAACACCGGGAGCCACAAAACCTGGGTGGGCGTTACTCCTAGCCTGAAGCAGCGGGAGGCAAGGGCTGCCTTGAGCACAAATGTACCATGACAAAGGCAGAATGCTGTTGCCGCACAAAGGCAAGTTCCCATTCTGGAATTTGGAGCAAGTGTCCATCCCCCACCGTTGGCCTTACCTTCTCAGGCCAGGCGAGGAGTGACTGGGAGGGGAGGAGCTAGTCAATGGTGGGATCAACTGACAGGGAGCTGCAGCAGAGGGCTGAAAGAGCCGACCCCTGCACTAAGAGACATGAGCAGAAGAGCAGATATATGTGTAATGGAAAAACTGGAAAAGGAATCTTACTTTCTCCTTGGAAGATATAAACCAAATTTGAGAAAACATAGATGATCACTGTTTCCTTCCTTTGACAGTGTCCTGACCCATCATGTCATGCAGGCTTTAATTTCATATTATAACACTTACTACAGATAAATATGATCTCCCATAAATGACAAGAAATAATAAAGAACAAACATACAGGACTGTCCCTAAAATTTCCTTATGAGAAGTACTTCAAAGGAACTCACTAGCAGCACCTATTTTTCAACAGTCTTAAGTACTGAATATCCAGAGTCAATTTACAACGCTCCCTGTAACAACATGCTATGGCAAATCTTTGATTCAAATCCATGTGAAAAGCAGAATTCAGGTGTGCAGTCTTCAAAATATTAAAAATTCTATGTCAGATAGAAAGTACTTCAGTCTTATGAACTAATTCTTAATGATTTTAAAATGGGAAACTTATCAGGTAGTTATCTTACTCCATCTTTTCCAGCTTCCGTGTTGCATCCTGAATTGCCACCTGAAGTTGTTGCTCTTTCTCCATTGCTGCTTTCTTTGAAAAAGAACAACTTACATTACATGCAATTCCACATATTATAGAAAAATTGCAACTGACTATAAAAAGTGAAATTATACTGGTCAGAGTATATCCTTATTTAATAAATTTATGCCTATTTGCTACAAATCAGGCTATAAAAAGCTCCAGGTTTTGTCAGTTTGAACTGACAATATTGGCTACAGATACATGAAAGCAAGATATGTCTCCCTGATTAATTAAACTAGAGAGGAAAGGAGAGAAATGCCACTTTCTCAACAGCAGCAGATCCACATCTCAAAAAACTTTTCTTGTTCTTCAGCAGGTCAGAATATAATCAGATGAATGTTCTTTAAAACTAAGGATAGGAGGACCTTCAGCAAAATGATTCAACTTTTAAAGAATATTCGTACTCAGGATTGAAATGAGGGGTCCTTGTTCTTTGAGCTTGGTTGTTTTCTTACAGACATTTCTTTACCCAAACTAGTTAACATCATCTGTGCCAGCAGAGTGGGGTTTGCTCTCGTTTTATATTCTAATGGCTTGCCCTGTCAGTATTGTTGGGAGTGGTCTTAGTGATTCTTTTATTGGGCTGTTTACCATTAGCTTGTTTGGCAGTCCCTGAATTTGGGGTATCGCTTGTTTCTTGAACATCAAATGTTAATCTCAGTGTTCTCTGCTCCTCTGAGTGTTGTTTCCGGATGATGAGATATTTTGGTGTTTTTGTTCTCTTTTTATCTCATTGATTATCTCTTTTGAATAGTATATGGATAATTCCTCTAAATTAAAGGGGTCTTCAAACTTAACAGCTTTAAGACTTGTGGACTTCAACTCCCAGAATTCCTCCTACAGTCATGTTAGCTCAAGAATTCTGGGAGTTGAAGTCCACAAGTCTTAAAGCTGTCAAGTTTGAAGACCCTTGCTCTAAAAAGTGGGATTTTCATTGCTTGCATATCTGATACCTAGATCAGGGGTCCCCAACCACCGGTCCGTGGACCGGTCCCGGTCCGCGGAACAAGTCCTACCGGGCCGCTGGTTGCTGGGCGCCGCCATCTTTTTTTGATGAAAAAGTGCTTCCAGTGAGCTTTTCCGGGTAGAAAGCCATTTCTACCCGGAAAAGCTCACCGGAAGCGCTGGCGCCATCTTTTTTGATGAAAAAGTGCTTCCGGTGAGGTCACCGGAAGCACTTTTTCATCAAAAAAAGATGGCGGCGCCCAGCTGATGCCGGTACCGGGCCGCGGCATAAAAAAGGTTGGGGATCACTGACCTAGATGATTAATGAACACCAAGTGGTAATGATCTAGTTTTCCAATTTTTCAATCTTAAGAAAAAACGTAACTGTGATATTACAGGCAAGATGAGACAGCAGCAGCTTTGCAGTGTAAGTTTTACTGCTCAGAAAAAGAGGTATGGATCCAGATTTTACTTGGCCTTTTTTCTTGCAGATTTATGAATCCATTCATCAAAAAGCTACATAGGGCTTTTTTACTCTTTTGCACTTTTATTTGTCTGGAAGGTTGAGAACAAGTTAAAGGATAGCTCAAGATCATAAGTTTAATATTATTTAGAATTTGACAAATTCTAATGTTCAGCTTTTTGTTGAACTGGCTGAATTTTTAAAAAGGCAAACTAAAAAACTGATAGAAATTAAACTAGAAGGAAAAAGTAATTTCATGGCATTTTAGACAATGGTAGCTAAGCTGTTTACTAAAGTGGTACAAAAAAAAATCATGATGAGTAACTGATTAACAGCTAGAAAGATAAAAATGTGAAATTAACTATACAAAAGATGCAAGAAACTAGAAGAACCTTTCCACAGTATACTACATGCAATTTGTCAGAATTAAATTAAAGATCTAACAGGGGAAAAAAGTGAAAATTAATCTTACATGTACACTCTGGATTTCCAAGTAGACTTCACGCCGTGAGTCACAGAAGAATAGAAAATTTAAAATACCACTCAAAAATCGAGCTGTCCTGTTTGCTTCTACAAAAAAAATAGTTTAAATATTTTAATATTTTATGGTTTAATAATTTGTTTGAAAGAATTATAAGATTTAAACTCCTATCTGTCTGAAAGCAAACCAACCAGGAAGAGATGACATATGGCAACTAGGAATCCATGAAAAGGTTGAGTGTTTATTGAACTGTATACCAGAAATGCACTTTAAATGATTTCAGATGAATTTTATTGGGAGCTGATCACATCTGAATGCAAGTCTTGTGTATATAAACAAAGGCAAGTACTGCATAATGCTGCCACTCTTCTTTGGTATTCATAATGAAACATATAATTGAACTTCAAACCTTTGCATTTACAAATCTATTCCAGATTTCCATTTTTATATCTAATTTAGTACCTTAATACTTTTTAAAGGGGAAGATGGCTTGAATGGCTGTTATATAATTAAGAATCTAATTCATTATCAAACCACTGTAAAACATCCAGTTGTTTACAGCAAAGAATCTCATTCTATCTATTTTGGAATTCATTTCTAAAAACAATAGTTCCCAGTTCTGAAATTGAACATGGGTGAAGCTAGAATTCTGAAAGTTTTATACAAATTTAATATCTGTTCTAATATTTTATACAAATTAGAAGCAGTTTGTCAACTCTTTCACAGTAAATAGCAATCCAATGAAAATGAACAGAGAGAAGCAACCTAAAACTAAGGAGAAACTTCCAGACAGTGAGAACAATTAACCAGTGGAACTGCCTGTCTCCAGAAGTTCTGGGTGCTCCAACACTGGAGGTTTTTAAGAAAAGACTGGACAGCCATTTCTCTGAAATGGTATAGGGTTCCCCCCAAGGTCCCTTCTAAGTGCTATTCTGTTATTCTGACACCTTTCCCAGGACCTCTATTCAGATTTTGGCATCCTCCGTTTTCCTGCCTGAGCAGGGGGTTGGACTAGAAGACCTCCGAAGTCCCTTTCAACTCTGTTAAACACAAGTATATTTATGCTCTGGACTATAGACATTGAATGTATGTAAACCCTGAAAAATATGTGGTAGCCCTGGGCAAAAGAAAGGCAGTAAAATCACTCTAGATGTAGGGACAGTGTAAAATATTAATATATGATAAATAATGGAACAATTAAAAATAATAGCATAGAGTTTTCTTTCTCCCCCCCTTCCTATTTCTTTTTCTTTCTTCCTATTTTTTTTCTTTCTCTCCCTTCCTTTTTCTTGCTTTCTTGCTCTTTCTTTTCTTGTCTCTCTCACACACACACTACACCCTTCCTTTCTATATTTTTCTTTCTCATTCTTTCTTCCTCTTTATTTCTCTCCCTTCCTCTTTCTGGCTCTTTTTCTTTTTCTTTCTTTCTCTCTCTCTCTCTCTCTCTCTCTCTCTCACACACACACACACACACCACTCTCCCCCTTCCTTTCTATTTCTTTCTTTCTTGTTCTTTTTCTTTCTTTCTCTCCCTTCCACTTTCTTTCTTGATCTCTCTCTCTCACACACACACACACACACACACCCCACACTCTCTCTCTCTCACATACACACCTGGTCTGGGACGAATTGATCCGGCAAGCTCCAGAGCAGCGGGTGGAGCAGCCCCGGGACATTCACCCACCCTCCCAGTCAGAGCAACACCGCTCGCTTCTCCTGGGGGACAAAATGAAAGGAAGCAAGCGGCAGCAGAGGCCTATGGTGCTGCTACGGGAGGCAGCTGGGTCCCTGCAGCCGCCACATGGTAGGGAGAGCTGGGAAAGCAGCGCATGGCAGCTTAGTCAGCCAGCCAAGCCGGGAGATAGTGTGGGGGGGGGGGGGACGACAGCTAGCTAAGCCCCAGGTGGTTTAGGTTGAAATATATGTTCCTACATTTACTTCCTGGGAGCAATTTAAAACATTGTTATTAAACTGTTTTGTTTCATAGATTTCAAATCTGTTCAGAATTGAGATATAAAGAAGAAATTATGGGTGGGGTTTTTTTTGCAGGCTAGAGAATGTATTTCCTTCCAATCTAAATTAGGAAAGATTTATAAAGATATCTATTTTATTTTTCTATATTTATTTGTAACCTGCCTTTATTATGCTTACAAATAACTCAAAACAACCAACATACCTAATATTCCTTCCTATTTCCCCCCACAACACTGTGAAGTAGGTTGTGCTAAGAAAGAGTGACTGGTCTAAAGTCATCCAAAGCTGGCTTTCATGGCTAAGGCAAGACTTGAACTCAAGATCTCCCACTTTCTAGCTTGGTGCCTTAACCACTAGTATCTCCGTGTAACGATCAGTAATTTTATTATTAATATTTCCATATACATGCTTCACTTTTTTATGTGAAACATGTTTATTTGAATTGAAAAGTATCCTACAAATAAAAATAAATTCCTTATCATAAAGTTTATGAAGTCATATGGGTCAATATTTCTTCTTAATTATTCCAAAGATTAAATAGGTAGAACCGAAGAAGAAAATACAAATGTAGTAAATGAAAATAAATTTGGAACTATTTCTTCTTATTGAAGCATAACTTCTTCCACATTATTAGAATTCCAATTATAGGAGAAGCTACAGTCCTATAAGTCAGACAGATCATGCAGTCATGCCTGCAGTTTGGCAACATGCTAACCTGATAAATTTCCATATTATTATATTAACCATTGCTCTTGAGAAAATTAATACTGAAATGTAAACTTAACTATAAAAAACATAAAATAAAATCTAGTGAACCAGTTTTGGGTAAATAAAAATATATGACCATTTGAGCTATGAAGCATATACAATCCAGAAAAAAAAATTAATGCTTACTTGGATGTATAATGTCTGCAATCTGGAAGTCATTGACACGACAGATGGGGAAAAATCGCTCCCTGTCAAAGTTTTTTACATATTCTTTAATTAGATTACTTATACTATTTACTTCACCAGTATAATTCATCAGTAATTGTTTCTTTGGTATTATATTACATATGAAGATAATAAAGGAAACAACTATAACCAGAGTCTTAAATTTTACCAAATAGTGCTGCAGAGTTTTAATATTCCCTTTGAATTAGTTAGCTTCTTTTAAAAAAAAATTAAAGCAGAAAGTCTAGAAGAAATATGTTAATTTCATTGTAATACTACATGACAATTTACTAGTACATGTCAAAATTATATATTTTAAGAGTGTTAATACTTATATTTAAGTCTTCCATCAACTCCAAGGTGTTTGCTTGAACAAAGCTACCTTTGTAAAGCAGTATGGCACCAAAAATGAATCCTTTGAGTCAGCAAGTTATATTACCATACATTATAAAGGCAGTGCTGCACTTCAGAACAGTTAAAGCAATCACATGATTCCAGAAATATTCATTTTGTTTAAGGAGTACCAGGGATGTGCTGTTACATGCTCTGGAGCAGTGGTTGCCAACTGGTGGGCCGCTAGAAAATTTTGGTGGTCCACAGAGAAATGTCACCCTCAGAGCACCCCAAAGCAATTAATCCAGGCTGCGCAGGTACACAAAGCCGTGCCACCCACAGGGCCCTCTCTCCCTGCCCACTCACTCCTTACCTGGCAAACTTGCCTGCTAAGTTGCTAGTTTTCCTTTTTTTCCCCCCCAACCATCAGCTGTTCTGCTGTGCCAGATTTAGATTAGCTAGAAAGCAGGAAATCGTTGCATTTCTTGCTTTCCAGCTAATCTTTAGATTTTAGGCTCTGCTTTTAAGCACAGCCCAACCTCCCTTAGGATTGAAGTTTCTATTATTCAGTGCAGGTAGCCAATGGCAGAAAGATAGATCTCTGAATGATTCTGTGAGCAACTCAATCTGCCTGCCTGCTTTGCCTGCTTTGGGGTAAACGTTGCTTTTTCTTTTTATTTATAAAAAATTCAATATTTATATACATGGTGTATTGGAGTTAATTTTGAGTTTGCTTACTAGCAAATATTATGGGTTCACTTGCAAGCAAATTTTATGTGACAGACTCAGATAGCCGATGGCAGAAACACAGATCTGTTAAGTGAGTCTGTGATTCTGTAAGCAACTCAATCTGCCTGCCTGCTTTGCTTGATTTTGGGTAAAAGTTGCTCTTTTTTATAAAATAATTCAATATTTACATACATGGTGTGTTGTGAGTTAATTTTATGAGCTTGCTTGCTAGCAAATGTTATGAGTTTGTTTGCAAGCAAATTTTATGTGACAGACTCACATAGCCGATGGCAGAAACACAGATCTCTTAAGTGAATCTGTGATCAACTCAATCTGCCTGCCTGCTTTGCCTGCTTTGGGGTAAAATTTTCTCTTTTTTTTAAATAAAAATTCAATATTTATATAAATATTTATAATATTTACATACAAGCCATGCCCAGCCAGTAACATGACCAAGCCACACCCACAGAACCAGTTAGTGGTCCCGGGGATTTAAAATTATGAGTTTGGTGGTCCCTGAGGTCCAAGAGGTTGGCAACCCCTGCTCTGGACCACATTTTTACTTTAAAACCTAAGCACTATGTAGCCCTAAAAATAATATCATAATTTCACTGAACACAAAATAATTCTAGATATTTACAGAAAATTTATTACCCCAAGAAAAGACTGCAGAGCAACATACTCCCACATTCAAATTCATACAAACAAAACTAGCCACAAAGACATGATTTCAGGATACTTACATATTAACAAATAGGTTTCCTATGGGTAGAAAGCCTTCAAAAATCTGAGGATATGCTGTTTCAAATGTCACTGGCATCTAATTGGAGATAACCAATAAAGAGTAACTAATGAAATATGTAATTTTTTCATTCAGTTCCTCTGATAATATAAAATGCATGTATAGCAAGATATCTATAGTGGTGTATCACAGTCCACATTTTCACATGACTGTATACACCTACAATAAGCCTAAGTACTATACATTTAATTCTAGAACAGTATAATTTTACAATAACCAACTGCCATAGCTAGTGATATAATCCATCTTCAGAAGATGTAGGACTAGAGTGTGATAATATTTCTAGTAAATTATGACACAAATCTTCACCTAGTCAAGAGGAATTAAAAATGTCACCACATTGTCTAGATTTTTCATTTATATCATACCTAGATACCTGGTACCATTATGTATTTACTACCACCTGTATAATATCAATCACTAATGACTCATGCCCTTTGTTTTCAGTTTAGTGCCATGTGTAAAAGATTACAATAATGGGTTTAAAACCGTCTTTAAGAAATCCTTGGCTTCCTGTGATGTTTAAACCCAGATAAAGCTATCATTACTCCAGCACAGCATGTGAAACAATTTCATGTTGAATAATCCAATGCAGTGCTTTAGCTCTATCTCATTTACTACTTAAAAAGAACAAGCAGGCAGAGACAAGATACAGGGAACCACATTTATCTTGGATAACTAAGCCAGGCAAAACTGTATTCCCTGCTTCCAAATACAATATATATTTTATTTTATTTGCTGTCCCTCTTCTGACTTAGAAGACTGAATATGAAGCATAGTTGCTCAAATTAATGTTTTGCCCATCTCCACTCATTGCCAGAAAAGCAGCCATTACAGGTAATCCCCTGGATATAAGGGTTCCTTCAGTGACTTTTCACCAGAACAAATGTATTCAGGAAGGGTACTTATGTTAGAAATTCAAAACTGCGATCAAAAACAGGTTTCTGTAGCCATGTGACTTTCATGCAGTCACTGCTATACGGCTGACATTTTTAACTCGCATTCGGTCTTATGAGGAAATTTCCTGAAGCCAGCAGGTTTTGTGGGGTTTTTTGTCTTGGTCAATGGCCAAACAAGATCCATGTCTTTGCAGCCAGCCCAGCCCCGATTCCCCCCCCCCCCCACCTCAAGCCTGGCTTGAGAACTAGAATGCTAAAATTGCTCCTGTAAGTATTTTAAAATATTTTTTTATTACTGTGTAGAACATTACTGTTTGTAAGAACTTTGGGAACTGCTCTGCTTTTTTTAAAGTATTGTGCTTTGCAAACTACAGTATTGTGTTTTAAGTACAAAGATAGTTTGTTTGCATTTGCTTTAAAATTGCTTGTAGAAATGCTAGTTAGCATCTACACAAAGCAGTCTATAATGTTGTGTGCTGTATCTCTTCTCTAAACTGATTTCCAAATTTGCAAGCTATTTATATTGGTTTTTGGATTTTGCTTGGAGAGGTTTGTGCCGATCAGGAGTTATTTTTAAATCTAAATTGCCTCCAGAAGTTGTAGGTGGCCCATCACTGGAGGCTTTTAAGAAGAGACTGGACAAGTATTTATTGGAAATACTCCTGTGGGAGCAGTGGGTTTGACTAGATGACCTCAAGGTCCCTTCCATCTCTGTTACTATTGCAAGCCAAGAGTTCTGTAAAACTCCTCCTGAGTGGCTGGCTAGATACTGTTATGCTAAGTGGCAGGTGGTGTTTTTTAAAGCAACTGCAATGGAGAACTCTGTAAATTAACATCTCACCCCCCTCTGGGCAGCTGTTGCTTGTGCAAAGGTTGGGGTTTTTTTGTAAACTGAAAATGGAAGTGCTTGGAGGCAATTTAGTTCTTCCTTAGTCTGTACCAGAAACAGCTGACTGGTGGAGGTGGAAACAGCTGATTGGCAGTGGGCTGGAAATAAGGCAGGTCTTCATTTATTTAACAAGGCATTTGATTCAATTAATGAATTTGATTTTAAAAATTTGTACAATTGGTCTGATTCATTTGATGAATTTTTTGACTTAATAACCTAATGGGCAGGCTCCATTAGGTTTGTACCTTGAGGACTACCTGTAATTTATTGCAACAAACAAAAATCATGGTAATAACTTAAAAACCAAAGACTTTGTGTACTATCTGTCTTAAGACAATAAAACATACAATAAATCTGTTAATCTTTAAAGGCAAAGTAAAACAATATGGGGAATTATTAAGGCTCCACCTCATTCTAGTTTCAATGCATTTTCTCCATGACTTATATTCTTACCGTGTAAAAATGTTCCACACGGATCCCATACAAACTTTGTAAAACTCTCATGAAAATCATACGCAATATTTCAGGCTAAAAAGAGAAGTACAATTTAATTAAATGAACAAATAATATATGCATTTTATTTTACTTAGAACCTATTTAATTTGCTTACCACCAGAATGAGAACTCTGAAAACTTTAAGAAAAGTTCAAGTCAAGAACTTAAAATATGTTATTACATATTTTGACATCATTCCTCGTTATAAAATTAACCCTATGGTCAAATAAAAATATTACTAAACCTTCAAGTCTAATCGTGCAGCAGATGAAAACAAACTTAAACTTTACAGCAAGCGTAAATTTAAAATTCCACAAAAGTGATTTTAACAGACTGGAATATGCTTTCATTTTAGAGGCTGAAAACTACATATCTCTCAAGTCAACTTTAGGCATATTTAGAACGTAAGACAGCTCTGAAAAGACCCAGGTTCAAAGACAT